CCAAGTCGAACAAGTTTATGTCGCGCGAAAAGAAAACACACGTCACATACGTGCACGAGGTTACATTGCGCATGCGTCGAACCGTGAGACGCACACGCGCTCCGAACCGAGACAAGCGAACCGAACGGTTCGGGTGTTTTTCATGTACCGTGCCACCCCTAATATATATATATATATACTTAAAAAAGCGGGGGTTAAGTTTTTGCACGTCGTGCAGAATAACACTAAAGGCACCATATATATACTTAAAAGTGGGGTTGTTAGTTTTATCTACAGTTACAAAAATCGGTATATACATTGTACTCCTCAAGCCGTACAACTTTCTAATACATAGTCATTAGCTCGGACCAAGAGGAAGTCAGATATTTTGGTCTGAATATGGTGAGCCTCTCTCTGAGCCTACGTCCCTGTATGGCAAGCCCTTTTAACATTTAAAAGCTAAGTTTGCCTATCCGGAATTAACATTGTAGATATCAACAACGTCTTTCTGTCTAGTCGTTACACTTTGGATAGTTTGTATTATCATTTAAGATATCTGTAACATAACTGTGACTAGTCGAAATGACAGAGTATGGCAAGCCGTTTTAACATTTAATCATGAAAGGGCCAAAGCCTTCGGCACCGCCACCCGGGTGCCTTTAGGTAACTAAAGGAACGGGGTTGCGGTGCCTCCGGCTTGGGCCCGCCATCGCTGCTCGCAGCTATATTATTATTATTATTATTATACGACTTTCGGGCACTTTTGGGGCCCTTAACATGCTCAAAACTCTTGAAACTTTGCACACGGGTCAGAACCCGCGGCCATCAGAGCCGGGCTGAAGATGGTACCCGGGCGTGGCAGGGGGGCTAGACAGCGCCCCCTGGAACGGGGTCCGAACACTTGGTCCATAACTCAAACACGCTTGCATGTAATAATATGAAACTCGGTACACATGTTGATCTCATCGTTTCATCTATACCTCGTGCTTTACTTTTTACCCCAGCCCAACAGGAAGTCGGCTATTAGGGTTGTTCGTAAAACACTCGCAATGGAATTTTTAATACTCCTCCTAGAGCTTTGATCCAAATTCGACGAAACTCGGTCAGCGTGAAGTCAAGACATTGAGGATGAAAGTTTGCGAGGGGATTTTTGATATCTCGAACGGTTTGGCCGTGGCGAGGAAACGAAATCATGGCGAGAAACGTGAAACAGGAAGTGTGTCATAACTTCAGCATACATTAACTGATCTTGATGAAACTTCAGCAGTGTGTTCGCTGTAAGAGGACGATCACATGGATGTGACTATTGTGAGTCAAAGTTATAGCGCCACCAACTGGCAGCAGGAAGTGTGTCACTTTCAAAATGCTTTGATATCACCCTTTTATTTTTACCCGATTTGCTTCAAACTTCATATGTATAATGTAAACATACGGCAGATGTAGACCTGTGAATGGATTCTTGATATCTTTGAAACTGTTGCCGTGGCGACGCATCAAACTTTACCCTTCTTTTAGGATGCTTTTAGGATGCTTTTGAGACCCTTAGCATGCTTCAAAATGCATGAAACTCGACAGACACATCACATTTATTAGCCAGTAGACATGTGCAAAGTTTCAGAAACGGGCGTGGTGAGGGCTCAGTAGCGCCACCTTTTGACAAAAGTGGGGTTGTTAGTTTTAACTAGAGTTACAAAAATTGGTATGTATATTGTACTCCTCGAGCCGGACAACTTTCTAATTTACACTTATTAGCTAGGACCCACAGAAACTCAGATATTTTTGTTTGAATATGGTCACTCTGAGCCTACATGTCTCTGTGTCTTTGGCTGTCTTTGGCTGTCTGTGTGTGTGTGTGTGTGTGTGTGCCTGTGTGTGTGTGTGTGCAGGGGGAGGGGGCTTAACCATTTCACTGCTGTGTGTATGACCTGCATAAAGAAAATACATTTCTCAAGCCTGGTATTTTTTAAATAAGTTTTTTTTTATTTTTTATAAGTAAAGACATATAACTAGTTTAATTGTAGTGCATTGACAATAGTTTTATATAATTAGTTTATTAATCAGATTAACTTGGTCAATAAACTTGGTCTGAAAATTTGGTCCATAAATCAAACACACTTGCATGTAATAATATGAAACTTGGTACACATATAGATCTCATCGTTTCATATATAGCCTACTTCACACTCTTACTTTTTACCCCAGCCCAACAGGAAGTTGGCTATTTAGGGTTGTGTTTAAAACACATGCAATGGAATTTAAAGTATTGCTCCTAGAGCACTGAACCAAATTCGACAAAACTCGATCAGCGTGAAGTCAAGACATTAAGGATGAAAAGGTGCCAAGGGATTTTTTATATCTCGAACGGTTTGGCCGTGGCGAGGAAACGAAATTATGGCGAAAAACATGAAACAGGATGTGTGTTATAACTTCAGCATACATTAACTGATCTTGATGAAACTTCAGCAGTGTTTTCGCTGTAAGAGACCGATCACATGGATGTGACTATTGTGAGTCAAAATTATAGCGCCACCAACTGGCAGCAGGAAGTGTGTCACTTTCAAAATGCTTTGAAACCACTCTCTTATTTTTAACCGATTTGCTTCAAACTTCATCTGTATAATGTAAATACACGGCAGATGTAGACCTGTGAATGAATTTTTGATATCTTTGATACTGTTGCCGTGGCAACGAATCAAACTTTAACATTCTTTTTTGATGCTTTTGGGACTCTTAGCATGCTTGAAATTGCTTGAAACTCAACAGATACATCACATTTATTAGCCAGTAGACATGTGCAACTATGGCAAAAGATTAAAGTAATGTCAAAAAAGTAAACACTAAAAGCCTCATATCTTCTAAAAATGTAATTATACATCATTTGTTTCTAAATTAAATTATACAAATATTATAACTTCCCCAATTTTTCCTTTTTTTCATTTAAGAATTATGTTTACGTTCAAAAACAGCCAGAATTGTTGTAAAATTCATAAAAAAATAATAATCTGAGTCATACGTAGTGCTATACTGCCCTCTTGTGTTCAATATCAGGTAGGCCTATTGTGTATATTCCCACCGGTTAATCAACGTGTGACTCCGCTGGGACTTGGGAGCTTTTAAATCGCTTACTTAAAACCGAAAGTCGAAATACGGATGTCCGCACAAGACATTAATGGTGTGGAGTAGAGCGAGCATTTTAAATAAATTCCTATTAAGTAGGATTGAACTAAACAGAAAGAATGTTCACTCTGTTCTGCTGGTTCCTCGCTGGTGGATCATATGATTACTTTGTCATAATCTATGACAAAAATGCTATTATAAACCATATTAATAATAGATAATACACATTGCTCTTATTTTTGAAAAATACATTCATGAAAAACAAGATAACAAAAATCATAAAAAAATATAGCCATGGCTGCTATAAATGTTTGAAATGCATAGGACAGATGTTTAATGACGCAGCAACATATAATTGAAAGGCAATTAATAATCTGTCATTACGTCACTGCATTATGATATTACGGCTCCAATACGGTGCAGCACAAAGCACTTATGTGCATCCCGAGCGGAGAATGATGTGCTTGAAGCCACATGAAGTTACAGCGCAGTGAGTCCGTATTGAAAAGTTCAAAGCACAAAGGAAATACATATTTATGAACAGTGTATTATACATTATCTATCTATGCAATAGTTTATTGAGCCTTTTCTTTTAAAGGTTTTAAATTTCAGTTACTGTGTGCGTGAAGAACAATTATAGTGCTCTGACTCTAGTGTTGTGATCTAACCGACAGCGTCCGACACCCGGTAGAAAGTAACACGGTTAAGTTACAGTCCAGCAAGAAAAAGTTTCTTCATTCGAAAATATAGACCTTTAGACCTTTATCTTAAAGATCCAGTATAATAGGATTAACATTCAATCATCTTGAAGATCGTTTCATCATTGACTGTAACCGAATGTGACGTGCTGTTTGAATGCTGAATGGAGAATGACTGACAGGCGCAGAGAGGGAAAAGTTTGTGTTCTTGAATTTAATGACTTAAATATTAATTTCTATATCACATAATAGCTTCAGAACACTAATAATACAGTACACAAAAACTTTATGGTACTTTAGAAAGTTTTTGTGCCTTTGTGCCTAACATAGAATAGTATATATGCACAATATAGAATTTGAATCAGCCTCGTCAAAGATGGCAGTGTCAGAGCCGATACCGATCCTGAGTATCTAATCGGCGCACTTCTTTTCAACAGTCAAATTGAAATTGAAATTGCTTGAAACTCAACAGATACATCACATTTATTAGCCAGTAGACATGTGCAAAGTTTCAGAAACGGGCATAGTGCAAGGACTAAATAGCGCCACCTTTTGACAAAAGTGGGGTTGTTAGTTTTATCTACAGTTACAAAAATCGCTATATACATTGTACTCCTCAAGCCGGACAACTTTCTAATACATAGTCATTATCTCGGACCAAGAGGAAGTCAGATATTTTGGTTTGAATATGGTGAGCCTCTCTCTGAGCCTACGTCCCTGTATGGCAAGCCCTTTTAACATTTAAAAGCTAAGTTTGCCTGTCCGGAATTAACATTGTAGATATCAACAACGTCTTTCTGTCTATTCGTAATTACATTTTGGATAGTTTGTATTATCATTTAAGATATCTGTAACATAATTGTGACTAGTCGAAATGACAGAGTATGGCAAGCCGTTTTAACATTTAATCATAAAAGGGCCAAAGCCTTCGGCACCGCCACCCGGGTGCATTTAGGTAACTAAAGGAACCGGGGTTGCGGTGCCACCGGCTTGGGCCCGCCATCGCTGCTCGCAGCTATATTTCTCATTATTTCTCGTTCTCATTTCTGCCTTGTGTAGGCCAACTAGTCTTCTTATACTGACACATGTAGAAAAAAAAGAAATGAGAAATGTAGAAGTTAGAATAATTTATTTGAAGTATAAAATCTAAAACAATAAATAAAAAGAAAACAATGGTTTCACATATTTTCAAAATGAAATAAAACTCTGCTGTCTTGTAGGAGGTCAAAGGATGGAACATCTGTGGAAAGAGAACAAAATGTTAGGCCTTGTACTTCATAGACCAGTGCCAAAGTATCAGACAAGATGACTAGAATATGCAAAGTGTATTACAGACTAATGTAGTCAGGGACAAAACAATAATATATTTCCTTGACTACAATTATACTGACATTTCTAGGTTGCTCTTTTATATTTAATGTTGTTATCTTTACTCACAGTAACTTTGTTCAGTTTTATACAACATATACAGTAATGCCAACAAAAACAAAATATGTAATTTTTATTCCTGTAATACTTATATACATCATACGTTTATGGTTTGTGTATGATAAAGACATGTAGTATAGGCTAATTACTTTATATATGATTGGTGTTGACACATGCATACTTAGAACATTTCAATTGCATCCTCAGCCTCTTGAAATCCCACATAGACACCAGTCTCTGAAGGATATTTTCTTCGAATGGCACCAACCACACATGATGGCAATGGTTTACGATTGCTTCTACCCAAAGTTTCTCCCTTCAGGGCCCACTCCAACACTATGCGGTAGGACACCAACCTGTATTGACTTAGAGCACAGAAAAAATTGTATGAATAACTAGTAAATCAAGTGTACGGGTTATCAAGACAGACTATTTCAAGGGTGGCAACAGTCAGTTGGCATGTGTGTATATTTTGTTTTTGCGCGTGTATACTACAATTGCATTATACTAATGTTACCTGTATGCATTATGATCATTCAAAATGCACTTACTTGGAGGACAGCTGTCCATTCGGTTCACTCGGCATGGGACGTTTCTTCCAGTTTATCTTGTCACAACGGGAAAAAAAATCGACAACCGCAGGGTGTATCAGGGCAGAGAATTCCTCCGTGATAGTGACGCAAATATCTTCATTGTCATCACGACTTGCCATTGATGGCAATACCCGCTCCCATTCATTACAACAAATGCACTCGCTTTCTGTGGGCATAGGTTGACATGTTCCACATTTACACCACCAGTCCGTGTTAGTTCGGATTCTCCCCTCGACCTCCTCAGTCTGTTCGGCATCTTGGCTATCAGCCTCAAAACTTTGTAATTCCTCGTCTGTGTATTCTGGCTCAAACCGATATGGTTCAGGATCTTGGTTTGAGACAAAGTAAAAATCATCTGACATTTCGTCAAAATCAGCCATGATCACCATTCACGTCAGCTACTAGCTAGTTAGTCACGTTTGTTTTGTTGACAGAAGAAACAACGGCGCGTCTCAGGTGCTGCGGTTCTCACTCCGCCCAAATAGTAGTGCTTCGCCTTCAGAGAATAGTTCCCAGTATTTATACGATTAAAATATGTCTGTATCTCATATAATTTTTTTTTTTGGACACTATACGACTATACAAATCGCAACCTGTAAATAGGACAATGTTTGCGTTATTTTTTCACTTATTTGGATTAGAAGGCTAAGTGCAACCAAGTACTTCCAGTCTTTGTGCTAAGCTAGGCTCGCGGTGGGTGCGTCAAACAGACTTATAGCACGCACGGAGATGAAAAAGGTAAGTATGGACTTATCTAACACTGGGGTATAAGGTGAATAGGCTAAAGTCCCAAAAAGTCGGAGTGTTCCTTTAAGGACAGCCCCTTGAGGTAGGCCATCTTGTTTTTAATGGGGTCCATATAGGAGTGAAAGTACAAAATATGCCAGCTAGGATATTAATATGAGCAAATAAGAAACTAATCATTATTTGAACAGGGTGTAATGAGCTTTTCACAAACTTTAGATTCTAATGTTAGGCTATAACCCCTACAGCTTACGATTCATTTTCCAGATATTTTTTTGAATTTGAAATATTATTTACAATTACAGTCTGCATAAGATTAGAGTGTATAATTATGTTTATTGATTTGAGGGTACATCCTTTGCTCATTATCACCAAAAGTTCATTTTCATCAAACTTGTAGGATCAACCAATCACGGCTTTTGAAATGATGATTCATACCTAGCAACGGGGTCAACCACACCTCCTCACCAAGATAGGATTTTCCATCCATTCCTTTCTCAGAGTTTACCGAAAATGTTCTGGAATCACTTCTAAGGTAAAACTCCTGGCAAGGAATTTTTAGTTAAGTTAGGAGCTCTCTGAGAGGATTCTCAGAATCTTTAGGGATACGGGCCCTGGTATCTGATACTCGGACATCTCCAATCTGGCAACCCTCGGTCTCAGGTACGAGTGTGTGTTTGGCTGTGGACGGCTCACACACCTTCATGATGGATGTGTGTTCGACAGGAAAGGCTGGAAAACAATTAGAGTCGCACACACCTTCATGATGGATGTGTGTTCGACAGGAGAGGCTGGAAAACAATTAGAGTCGTGTTGATCTGTAGACAATCCGTCTCTTATCTCCATTAGCGGCGACACGCGAGAGGAAGAGGAACACACTCGGGTTCAGGAGAACAATGAAGAGTCGCCATCATCATTAGTGATAACAGAAGCGGAGGGAAGCGAGAGAGAGGGGGATGAGGTAAATAACAGCAGGAGGGATGAACAGATGAGACCGGGTCAGCTTGATGGATGCGGAAGTCTCGGGATCCTCCGTCGCCGACACAATGTGTGTTTGCAGGAACATCAGGGACATGAGGTGGACGTGTTACCGGTGCGAAGGTGATGATTAAAACATTGTTCCAGCTCTGTTTGTCAGAACAGTGTTTAGCCCGACAGAATGAGTGTCTAGAAAGGAGGATGGTCATTTATCCACTAGAGGAACGTTTCTATTCTTGGTTTAGTCCACTGCGCATCCTAAAAATAGAGTTCAGGAGACAATAAAGGGCTGGAAAGAGGGATAAAGGACATGGACAGTTCCTCGTTTAGAGAAGGACTGAGAGTAAGTGTGAAAAACAAAACTGTGATGCAGGCATTCGTCATTTCTGTCCTCTTCCTCGTCTACATTCACACTATTGCTCATCACACACACACTTCACAAGTGGAAAACGTTGGAATTAAAGGTTAGGTGAAAATCCAGTTTTTAATGTTGTTTATGTGTGTATGTGGTGTTTAATATGCCTTAAAACCAGCCCATTCTCACCCCCAAGGCGTCACTTAACTGACGCCTTGGGAAGCATTTGGACATGCTTCAATATCTGACGCTTTAGGCGCCCTTTAGCGTCAGTTAGATGACGCCCTAGGATCGCGTGTACCCTACCCCCACCCCACACCTAAACCTAACCGCGTCCTCTAACAGACGCTTTCCTTTAGCGTCAGTTAGATGACGCCGTAGGATCGCGTCACGTAAGTGACGCTAAAGGGCGCCTAAAACGTCAAATATTGAAACATGGTCAAAGGTGACACCTTGGGGTGAGAATGCGTTGTTAAAACACACCATGTGTAAGTGGACAGCATTGCTGAGTATTTCCTCCTTAAAGCTGCAGTGAACCAAAGACAGTCTCAAAAACACGGTTTGAAATCGCTGGTGTTTCTGACGTCACAAACATCCTTGTAACCAATCAGATCAACGTGTGATCGTCAACCAGTGGATCTCTGAGTGAGTGAGTGGAGGCGGGGCTCTCTAAATGAGGCGAGGGTGTCGATTTACATTCGAGATATTTTAAGGCATGAAAAAAACATTTAAATGTGTGATTTTGGAGATTTAAGGGATAAAAGGATTGACTTCAAGCGAACTTTAAAAGATGATGAAAGCGCTACAACGAGTCTCATAATAGTGTCACACTGGATATCAGTTTAGGAACACAAGAACTGCCGCTTATTTGTAGCCGAAATCTTACAAATAATGTCTAATGTCTCAAAAGGCCTCCAATACGTCGTGCTGTGGCACTTTCATATGAGTTTCGCTTGGATCATTTTCCTGATTTAAATCCCTTAACAAGATAGCATGTGATTTACTAGAGGTTTTACGTTTGGTTTGGTAATTAAGTATTTTTAAAAATGTGGTTGAGTGAATGATTCACTTATAAAGACTTCACGTTGATCTCTGGAAGAGTCAGTGCTTTTTGAATGAATCTCTTGAATGTCTTGACAAATTCAATGACAAATTTGTCGCCACCTACTGGTGTAATTACAGTGTGTAATTGAAGAGTTCAGATGCAAAAGCCTCTAAATGCCATTTGAAATTTTCTTCTTTAATGATGATTTTTATCAAACTTGTATATTTAAGTTCAGTAATTTCACTTAAATAACAATTAATAGGTAATTATCATTGCCATTTAAGTGAAATCACTGAACTTAAATATACAAGCTTGATAAAAATTATCATTCTAGAAGAAAATTTCAAATGGCACTTAGAGGCTTTTGCATCTGAACTCTTCAATTACAGTCTACCTACTGGTGTAATTACAGTCTTACAGTGACGTTATTTCGTCACATTACTTTCAAATGTCGATTTACACTGTTTGAATCACTTCCGTAGACATTAGTATTTATAACTATAAACTTTTATTCCAGTACTTCAGTGATAATCTGAATATTTGTAACACATCCAGAGTGATTTTGTCAAATGTTTAAAGGGGACATATCATGCAAAATCCACTTTTTTAGCCCTTAAATGCATTTTATTGTATATTTGGAGTGTTTATGAGTACAGAAAAGATGAAATTATTCTCTTCAGGTGCTTCGTTTATATCTTTATATTCTGTTTTGGTTCATATTTTTCAACCTGTTTAGATTTTTATGTTCTCTATGACGTTTTTTTGAACTATCACGTCACCGTATTTGCAGCGGAACTGACAAATAAGGACATTGACTACCGGCCCAACACTTCGAGCAATCCGCCATTATTATTTCTCGCTCCGATTTTGTAGTCCAAGCTCAATGATGCAGAAGTTACAAGAGGGCAAGTCAAAATGTTCGGTTCTTGGATAGTGACCTGAAGCACTTCAAGGATCCCCATTCAACAACCTCCGCCAGTATAAAGAAGCATTTGCCAATTGACTTCGTCTGAATGAGGGGTAAATTCCTTCTATCATTTAGCTGCTGTGTTTTCTGATGCTTTTCTACACGTAAGTTATTATATTATTATTAATACAGATTTTTAGTGGTAAGATTGGACCTTAGTCATTTATCTTGTGAGTGTGCTTGTTTTAACAAGAGAAATAGTCAACTTTCACTAATAGCACAACATAGTTAACTTAACGTTACATACCCCTGCATCCATATGAAGACGTTGGTTGGCAGGTTCGTCGTCGTATTTATCAACTCGCTCGCTCTGGCTCGAATATGTAAGGCTTGATGGACAAGTCTTCCGTTGTTGACATTTTGTTAACGAGTGACTGAAAATGTTCTTTGAAGCTATAGTATATAATCGTATATCTCTTATCAAACTACAATAATGGCCGAACGCGGGGAGTTGAACCGAGTGTGAACTCAGCGACCTGGAGAGCGGGCGGGGAAAGACGCAACACCATTTTATTTAAAGGGGCCGCTTTGAAACGGGTCGCTCACAGACGCACATCAGAAAATCAGAATTCAGACCCAAGCATTGCAGTTATGCTTTATACAGACTACAAATGTATGATTTATAAGTAAAAATGTATGATTTAAAAGCATGATATGTACCCTTTAAAGGGCATCTATTATGGAAAATTCACTTTTACATGGTGTTTGAACATAAATGTGTGTTGGCAGTGTGTGAGCAAAACCACCCTAGAATGATATAAATCCACCAAGTGTTTTTTTTACAATCTCAATAAATCGAGCTGTAAGAATCTCAAAAGAACGAGCTGTTCTGAGATTCAGCTCTTTGTGGCGTAGAATTGAGCAAGGGGTTTGATTGACAGTGTGGTTGTGGCCTAGACCCCGCCCTCGGTAATCTGTACACACCATCCTCCATTGTTTCAATGACAGCCGGTAATGTCTCTTGGAAACATAAGTGTTCTGTCGTGGACTCGTGGGTTAATCCTGTTGTTGTGGCTTAAAAGTTAATCCTCAAGTGTGGATCATCATCTACTGTTTGCGATCCAACGTCACCTCTAGTAAGTGTATTTTATGATTTTTGAGCAAATAGTCATTTCAGTCTGTCAGCTAATTCAACAACAAATGCGTCTAAAGTTGTTGTCGTCGTAGGATGTCTGTGTATATAATTTAAAAATTGTTTGTATAGTGTGTAACTACACGTTTATAAATATAAGATATTGTATTAAAAACTGAATATAGGCCTATGTTGTTGTTCTGTAAGTTAGCCATCTTCTCACATTTGCCACAGAAGCACCTGTATGACAAGTAAACACGACACCACAGGTCTACAGGTCCCTCGCATAAATGTAATTTCACTTGTACGTAGCAAACTTTATCACAGAATGTGTATGTAGTTTCAAAAAATTGCGCCAGCGTTAGTGTTTGTTTGTATCTGTGTGTGTGTGTGTTGCACATCCATACTTGCAAAAAGACGCGATTACAACTCTATAAGTAGATAAATGT